TCTCTCTCTCTCTCTGTGTAATGCAGTCAATGCAATGCCAAAAAAAGAGCACAGGATTATAATCCACTGCAGCTTTTTCCTCCGTTCTTGTGAAAGTAGCTGCTGGGTACCAAACCGGTTTTCAAAATCCACTCTACATATTGATATCACAATGAAATCTGTTTAGATGGAGCTTTCTTTAAGCGCTCTCCGTTCACCACTGCTGTTCACTGAGGGATCGCAAACACATTAGAAAGAGTATTACTCCTGGCGTTGGAGCTCACACAAGCCTCGTCAAGGTAATTGTACTCTTTAGGCTTTTTGAATGCCGTATGATTGCCTCCTCTGTGGATATACTGTACGTGGTTCATCTTAATACAATGGATTTTATGCCAAGTCACTGCTGAACACGGCGGGTGCTGCCTTATTTAGAGGCGTCTGCCTGTTTCACTCCGTGCTATAAGACAGCAGGCTTCGTGTCTTTTCTCCGGTGTGAAGATTTGTGTTTCAGTTTCATTCTGTATTAAAGGCAAAGAAAAGTGTGTTTCAGCCAAAATTTAGAAACATCAATACATTTGAGTTTGAATCCTTCTTAAGGGAAGCTCACTGTCCCTTTACTGGTGCTTTCTGTCAGCTGAATTGTCCTCAGGATCTTTATCTAATGGCTGCATAGAGAACAACCCCTTGTGGGTGGTATGGTAATCAAGCAAGCATTCCATCAATACATTATTAATATGCATATTCAATGGAAGAATTAGTTAAAGCGCCATGCATTCAGTTTGGAACATACATGGACTTATATTCTTTATATTCTGTAAATCAAATCAAGCGTGTGCTGTTGTTTGGGCTTGTGTCTTGGTAAGTCCAGCCTGATTGCAAAACAGATTTTTTTTCGCCCTCATTAAAATGTGTGATCACAGTCGAAGCCCTCCTCCCCTCATTTCTCTCTCTCTCTCTCTCGCTCGCTCGCTCGCTCGCTCGCCCGCTTGTTCTCATATGTGTTTTTGATGTGGAATTCAAAGTGGCTGCAAATGTATTTTTTATCTGGCACACATTTATGCTGAGCGCTTTGCCCACCGTCTCTATGCAAAGTGAGTTGAAGCAGAATAGTAATGACTTTGGCCTTATGGGACTCTAAATGAGTGAAGTTCAAACGCAGCCTGTACATCACAGCACCTGTCAGTCAAACCGGGCCAGGCCAGGTCTGCAAGCACAGGGAGCCAAAGTGTGTGTGTGTGTGTGTGTGTGTGTGTGTGTGTGTGTGTGTGTGTG